CTTAATGGTCTCTGAGTAACTGTAATTTCTTCATCATCTCCTGACAGCTATCGCTCCCTGCCTTCTGCTTTCTTTTCAGATCAAGGCTGGCCCTGCCACACTAGAAAGAAGGGAAAAGAACAAATAAATGAGACACAGGAATAACATTTTTCTGGTGTCACAAAGATTTTTATTTTGTGGACAGATCAAAGACAAAGACACAAACCTTTCTGAATACCCTGACCTTCCCTGGAACCATCTCCACCTAGGCTAGAAGAAGGGTTGTGAATGGAGGAGGTCTCGCACAGGTGATCAGTCGGTCCGGTCAGACTCACGTCCTGATGGAGTTGGAGTTGACTTCTATAAGTCTCTGAAAGATGCACACTCTCTCAGACCTCTTCCAATGTTCAGTTAGACTTTGTCCTTAGGGATTCTTTCTGTGACAACTGGAGACATTCCCAACATTGGAGAAAAAAAAACCCCCAAAAGACAGACCTAAAAGACTGCAAATCATGTAATCCAATTTCATTATTAAGCCTAGATAACAAGATTAGAGTTAAAATATTTACATGCTACTTAATTCCTTTTCTACCATGGATTATTCACAGGCTTTGTTTTAGGAAAATCAGCTAACAGTAGCATTAGGTAACCCATCAGTGTTGCCAAGAGTTCAGTGCCTGGAGGCATTCGCCTTGTATTTGATGTGAGAAAATTTTTGGGCAATTTTTTTTGTTTGCTAGAGAAATTAAATTTTGGATCATTTCTTCAATTAAACTTTTCTGTAATGCCTTAAATGCAGATACCAGTCCCAGATACTAAGGATACTTGTATAGCTCCCATTATCACAGGACCAGACAGGCTTTAACATACGTATGTATTAAAATTGTGCCGTTGGCAGATGATAGCTTGTTGTTATTCTGGATATCACACAATCTGTATCACTCAATCAGCTGTTGGAGGAATATGGCTCTATATCTCTGTTCCTCTTTGGCACTGGCAAATTTGAAGTGCTGCCTTTGGGGGACTCGAGTTTTTTTCTCTCTTCAGACTTTCTGCTTGATTGGTCCCTTCTCCTCAAGGCTTTAGACATTTTAGGGTCAAAAATCACTCCATGTTTCTTCAGCTTGGGTCAGAGACCGTGATTTGGATCATAATGAACTCAAACCAAACCCCTGGATCCAGTGATACCCAAACTTCATGGCTGCACTAAATCCAAATCTTTGGATTTCAGTTTTGCAAAAGGCCCCTATCTTTACAATGGGCTGAACCAATGCCTTGGGTCCAGTCACCCCCAAATTTTGGAATGTTTCTGAATAGTTGGAATTTCCCATTCTGGTGAAGGCTACATACAGGTTGTAGGGGGGGATGGGGAGTAAAGAGATGGGTAAACAAACTGCTGACTGAAGGCCTGATCCTCTAATCCTTACTACACAAATCATTCTAACAGAAATAATGCCTTTGACTTCAGCAGGACATTGCCCAGCCCTGGCTCACATCTCACCTCCATTCAGAATGCTGCTGCAAAGATCATTTTCCTAGCAGGGTGTTTTGACCACATCCTCCTCTTTCGCATCCTCTGCTTGCTTCTCCATTTCAATTGCATCAAACACAAGCTGCTTGTATTCACTTTCAAGGCCCCTCACAATTAGGGTGACCAGATGTCCCGTTTTTATAGGGACAGTCCTGTTTTGGGGGACTTTTTCTTATATAGACGCCTATTACCCCCCACCCCAGTCCCGTTTTTCACAGTTGCTATCTGGTCACCCTACGCTCAGTCAAACCCCACTCAACGTACCATCTCTCATTCATTATCTAGCTGTCAATGCTCACCTCTGATTGGTCTGTCAGGCCAGCCTCCACTGCCCGCTTGTTACATTTTCAAACAAGCCCCTTTGTGCTTTCTCCAGTGCCACCCCTTGAGCTTTGGAGGAGCTCCCAAGAAACGGCTGCTAATCTACTTCATTAGCCTAATTCAAATACCTCCTCAAACCTCTCCTTTGCCATGATGCCCACAAACAACTTAACAACGGTTAGACTGCTGGTGTGCAGAGACCACAGCCTACTATGGCTCCCAATATTGTCCCATTGTTGACTTGTATTCCCCCTGGCTGTCTATATCCAGCTGTCGTCTCTTGTCTCATACTTAGATTATAAATCCCTTGGGCCAGGGACCAGCTTTTCGTTTTGTATTTGTACAGCACCTAGCACAATGAGGTCCTGGTCAATGACCAGAGTTCCTAGATGTTACTGTCACACAAATAATAAACAACAACAACAAAGACTCCTTATATGAGTAAGGAAACTCAGTCTCGGACCTTGACAGCGGCGGCTGACTCACTTGTAGATGCGAGGGGATAAGTTAGCATCCACTTGAGGGGAAATGTCATGGGATATTTTATGAGTAAATTAGATCAGGTAAATGCGAGTGCCAGTTCAATCGTGAAGAGTGCAAGGGCTCCAGTAAGGCTATTATAGCTTTAAGAAGCTCAAAGGAAAAGGAATATTATACACTCCAGTTCATCATGCAGGCACTAACTGACTGCTCACTGGAAAGTTTCTGGGAGTTAATGGTTATCCAGTTGATTTTAAATGCTTCAGTGGTCTCCTACCCCATAAGCTAGTGATGAGAGTGTTTGTCCAGCAGAACTTGTGGAAAGCAGCAGCACGCCCAGGGACATGCTGAAAGCATTAAGCTTCCTTGTGCATTAAAAGGAATTAGAGAGGAGAGAACTGCGGGAACTACAGTTGCTGCTTTATCACAGCTCTCATTGGGTGATTCTGAATGAACAGCTGGACTGTACTCGTCCTAGGCTATTAGGTGACGAAGGCTGTGCTATAAGCTAGTAGAAAGATAATGTTTCCTAGATCTGAAGTAAGGTTTGGGGCACTGATGTCACAGAGGATTAATAATCTCCATATAGGTAGCACTGTATACAGGCAAACCAATACATTTTATTTTTGGTAGGACCCTGATCCTGGAAGTAACTGACTGCCCTCAAATCCCCACAAGTCAAGGGTGCTGAGATAGTGTTAATTTAGGAGGATGAATTAAATACAGGCAATTTACTGATTTTCTAACATTTTACTTATTTTCTCTGGTTACACCTCGGGAACTGCTCTAATACGGAATACACCTCTACCCCGATATAACGCGACCCGATAGAACACGAATTCGGATATAATGCGGTAAAGCAGTGCGTTGGGGGGGGGGGGGGAGAGGGAGGCGGGGCTGCGTGC